CCAAACCTGAAAATTAAAAAAAGATAAGGCTTTGTGTTGAGTGGAGGCGATGGGATTGGGAGATTGTAAAAGTAATCAAGGGACTAGTAATTGGTGATGCTTATTTTGTTTGTTGTATGGGGAGTATCATCCTCCGGTGTTACCTAAACATTGTCCCTGGTTGTATACTTATCGACCGGGATTGTGTGGAAGTAAGCAACATAGTGACGCTAATAAACAATGGCACTTCTCAGTAGAAGGAGAACGAATTAGAGATAAAATTAAAGGGGGGGGATTGGGGGAGTTGTCATATAGGAGTATTTGAGAGAAAAAGAAGAATTAAAGGAAAATTAAGAAAAAAAAATTGAATATTGCCAGGCTAATAGGTTAAAAACATAATATAGTAAAAAAGGTAGAAATGGAAGATTACTCGCAAGATGTCATAGTATCAACTGAGAAAGGCTATTTAGTGCGGATAATAATCAAAGTTAGTTATTTATCCGGTCCACCCCAGCCTGAATTTCCGGACAATTGTAAATTTAAATGGTTAGCCTGGCGATTGGGTTCACGGCCTAAAGATTATATATTGTTGGATAACCATAAGGGCAAGGGTCCGCACTGGCATGATAATGAAAAAGAAGAATTTTTTACTTGGGTTTCATTATCAGAAACGAAAAAATTGTTTTTTTCCATGGCTTACCAGAAGTTTGGTTATTTCGAATTAGACTAAAATAATTAATAATAATAGTATGAAAAAATTTACTTTTAAATACGATCCACAACATTCAGTAAGTAAGATGTTTGACGAAATGGAACAAGCAGTTAAAATCAAAACTAGGAGTATTCAGCCCAAAAATGTGGTTATTACTAACAATGTAGAGGTTATTTATCAGGTCTTAAATAAACCTCGCTTAGATTTATACTCTTATTTAGTAGCCAAACAACCTAATTCAGTGGCTGAATTATCTAATTTACTAAAAAGGGAACCAGCCGAAGTAGTAGAGGACCTTAATATGCTAGTTGATTTAGGAATAGTTCGGTTGACAGCAGAATCTAAACCAATTGCTCTTTATGAAAAAGTGGTGATTGAATTTCCGGCCCTGATTGGTAAGGAACCAGTAGACAGGCAGCCGGTGGCAGTGGTTTAATAGGTTATTATCTCACCTTTTTTCTTTTTCTGGTAAT